GTTAAAGAAGTGAGTAAAACTCTATTAAATCCATGTCAGCAATAATCAGGTGATACCCAATTAGTTAATCCATCCCGTGGTCAGTGAATATATTCTTAGTCTTTTCCGAATTTGGATTATTTGTTGACTCAGTCCCTGAGGAATTGACCTCTGAGGTCACATGCTTTACAGCTCTGTGAACAGTATTCTAAGTACAACTAACTTGATAGAAATACTGGGAATGCACACTTTCAGCTGAAGTTAATGAAATTTGCGTGTTCACCATATTTTGAAAATCAAGATTTGTTTTAAGAGTCAGAGTTTGCATATGGTGGGCAATTTTCTGTTTTTCCTTCCACCCACTTGTACCCCTGATATCTTTTAAATATGGTACTTAATAGTGTGTAAATGGTGATACTATACTAACGATAGTAGGTGGAAAAAATTTAGACAGAAGTTGGATTTGAAGTTGATTGTCTTTAATCTCTCTGTAGTTCATTCTTATTGATGTACAATCTCATTTCTTATAATTCCTGCAGTAGTTGATACATTGATAGAGACGTACTTATCTTGGATCATAATGCCTTCTTTAATATTGTAGGCTTTAAAATTGTTTGGTTAAAAACTTTAAAAGCTTTTGTTGGAGGAGTTTGTATTATAAGTACATCTGAAAATAAAATCGATAAAGCACTGAAACTGAAATTTCAGCAGAAAATCCATCATTTTGGATATTAACATAAATGGGGCTCCTTTCAAGTAGCATTTCTGCGTATACATTTCTTTATATTCATATACATGGATATAAAGTACCTATCATCCTAAATTAGTCATATCTGACTATACAACCAATTATTTGCGTTTGTGAATTATGTGCAGAAGGTGGTTAGTAGGAGGACACACAAAGTCTTAACAAGTAAGTTAGAGATATGTAGCGATAGGTGTTTGTCACTGCTGCAACTAATGGCCTGGGTCACTGCTGCAAGAGCAGTAGCAGATTATATTGGATAGTCACCCTTACCACCCCTAGCAATTGAACATGTAGTAGCTCTCTAGTTGGCGATTTGGTTGCTGGCATCTAAACATTATTTGCTTTTAGATCTCGCAGGAGCTTTAGCAAAATACATGAGGAAGTTTGATTAAATGTATACCCAATGGGTATTGGAAAGCATTTGGGTGAAGCCACAGAGGAATTTCCCAGGAAGGACAAGGTAAATTCCTGGAAAGTAGGGACACAATTCCTAGGAAGCAGTGGGGGGATTTGCTAGAAAGAACATGGGGGAAAATACCTGCAGAGCAATCGGGAGGTTTCTGGAAAAGGCAAGTGGGAATGCCTAGGAAGTGGAAAGAATATTCCTGGAAAGCACAGGAGGTATCCTAGAAAGTGGAAGGTAGAAAAAGGAGGAGAGCAGTGTGGGGTGTGTGTGGAGAACACCTGCAAAGGTAGAAAGCATCCAAAGAATTCCTAGAAAGCCAAAGGGGATATTCTAAAAAACATGCTTGAAATGCCTAGAAAGCTGGGCTGTGAATTCGCAGAGAGCACATGAGGATGTCTTACAAAGCAAAGGGGGAATTCCCAGAAATCATGTGCCAAGGTATGGGCATATGGAAAATTTCCTAGAAAGCTGAAGGTTAATGCCTGGAAAACAGAGGGATATTCCTGGAAAGTAGTGGTGTACATTCCTAGAAAGAATGTAGTGAATTCCTGCAAAGCACATTTTGGGGAGGGGGTGGGCAGTCCTAGAAAGCAGAAGGGGAATTTCCCAGAAAAAATTTAATGGAAAATAGAGGAATTCCTGGGTAGTAATGACTGAATTCCAGGCAATGACAGGTGGTGGGGTGAGATCACCAAGATGGGTGAGGTGACTGAGGCAGGATGGGTGGGGGAGTCAGGGGTTCCACCTAACTCTGGCAGGCATCTGGATACCAGTGGCAGAGTCACAGAGTGTTTGCTGGGGGTCCTGAATTATGGTCTACATGCTCTGTGTACAGGCATTTGCACAGATAAGCAAATTTCTGAACTTTAATATTATCACAAATTAGAATTTATAAGTACTTTGTTTCTGAAGTCATGTTTGTACTCATGTTGCTGTTCTAAGTCAAAACTATGCTAGCAATTTCTTTGTACACTGCCCACATTGTTCTTAATATTTCAAAATTGCACCTTGTTACTCCTCTAGGATCATGGTTAGTATGGTGATAGCTCATGGTACTTTACAAAGTGAAGTAGAAAACTCATGCTGAACTCTACAAGTTGCTGGTCTTAAAACTTACGGTAAGCATGCATGAAGACTGAAAAATACTCAGTAGAAAAATATGTAAATATTTTTGTTGAAATTGCTTCTCTGCTGTGTAAAACATATTTTAAACATTTGATTCCAAAGTTTAGTTTACTTTGAATTCATGGGTAATAAATACATTGTGTTGAAACTTCTTTAAAGCTGCAGTTAATTTTTAATTATTATCTGTTTCTTTATCAAATCTATTCTTTTGGAAGATAACTAGGACAAGGCAGCTTTGGGGTAGTAACTGAAGTAAAACACAGGACTACCAGCAAGAAATGGGCCATCAAGAAAGTTAACAGGAAAAAGGTAAATATCATGTGGATGGGTGATTTTCTTTGAAATAGTCTTAGCTTTCTTATGGTCTGATGATTCTTTTTTCCAATCTCTGTTTGAGCACCAAGATGTCATGTTAGATACAGAATTTCTCTTTTCAGCTATGTAGATGTTTATTCTCATTCTTCAGGTATTAATTTGTGTCTTAGTCATTGCCCCTGTAGCAGAAACTAGAAGCAGCGTAAGTTTTTAAAATATTCAGACTCTATTGTCTAACCATGTAATTTAGGGTTCTTATTCCTTCATGATAGAATAATTGAAAAGATGTTTGCATATTAGATTCCAAACTAACCAAATATGATCAAAGAATATATGCAATTGAAAGGTGTTTCTTTTTTAAATATTTATTTTGATTTTTAAAAATCAAATAAGGTATAAATTCAGAACGCAAAGTGTTACATTCACAAATCAGTATCAATACAGCAGTACAACTTTATGCCTAATGTTCTGTGGCTGCATAATGAATCCTGAAATTCACAACTTGCCAGGTGAAAATTCAGATGCGTTATTTTTTTCCTCTTAATATTCTAAACTTTTCAAACTGTTAAATTGACAATAATAAATTATTTTAAATTTTGGTTTATTCGACAGGTTAGAAGAATACTGCGCTCTGGTCATCGTTAGTGCATGGCAGCTGGGGCAATAATGGATGTGATTTATGTTTAAATGGGAACCCTCATGTAGGGTAGGTTGAATTGCTTCATCTCTTTGATACCACACCAAAATCCATCATGTTATTGGTGGGTGGGATGCTTTGTAAAATAATTTTTTGCTCATTTGGTCTTGTTCATATATTTTTGAGACCATGGGTATTAGCTCCATTGAGCTTGACAACTTCCAATGTGAATAATTACATTTCGTATAACCCCGTTGCTTCAACATCTCTGTCTTGTGTTCATTTTAGATACTTATTAATCATCACACATTCTATTTAAGTAAAGTCTTTTTTGTTTTTGTTTCATAGGTACACGGTGTGTTTGGATAGCGTGAAAGTGATTGCATACAAGCGCAACCATTTTCACACTACTCAAACTTGAAGGCTTACAGGACATTTCATGAAACGGTGTATTTAAAACTGTAAGATGTTACGAGCAAATTTATTAGATCAATAGGAGCAATCCTGAAATACACTAGGATTTACCCGGTGGTCGTATTTCTGAACGTAAGATCTATTAATTTCCTGAATACATTCTATAGCTTTTTCAAAAATAAATTGCTGTTGAAAAAAATAATATGGTGATGTTTGTAAAATGTGTTTCCCGTCAATAACTAAGGGTGGAAGTTCTGCCATGAAACTACTTGAACAGGAGGTGAGCATCTTAAAGATAGTGAACCACGATCATATAGTACACTTAGAAGAGAAGTTTGAGACTCCAAAGGTAAGACCTCATTAATTGCTGCACTAGTGGTGGTAGACTGAAAAACAAACAAAAGAACAATCTCTGTTCCATGGTAACCCAACATATATCTTATTTAACAGTTTTGTCATTTGACCCAAATCTTACAGCTCTTGATGAAAACATTGTGGGAATGTTTGTATTTTATTTTCCTCTAAATTCCTACTAAGCCACCGTTGCCAGAAATATAAACTAGCAGTTGAACAGAGGACGAAACCAGTTTTACGTCAAGGGAAATACCTGACTAAGCCCACTTTGTTTGACAATCTCTGATAGGCAGAGACAATTATACAGCCTAGGTTTTAATTTCTTCCTTCTTCCAATTCTCTTATCTTTTTTATTTTTTTCTCCCTATTCTATTTAGAACTATTGCAACAGTAATTAGGTACAGTCACCATGAAAATTACAGGGTTGTTTCTCTTCTCTGCTTGTTGAAAGTGGTTGTCTTGTGTGTCCACAGCATTTCTAACAAGGGGAAACATCAGCCCATGAGCAGTCTTTCCATTTTTTATAGATGTCTGTTGTTTCAGAAATTGTTATAAAGCCACCGAATAGTGAAAATCCTATTTTTGAGGTTAAATTACTACTATTCTGTCTTTAACTTACTGTATTACTTGTTGAAAAGGTATTGTTGCTGAGCTGAACAGAAAAGAACTCAGGACTTTATAATGACAGCACTGTATTATGAATATTTCAGTAACATGTAATATAATATTTACTGTTAGCTGTAAGCATAGCTTTTTTCTTGGAATATTGAATTGGTTAGAAGTCTCATTTGAGTAATGTATTATAGTTTTCATTCCTAGTTGCTGAAAAGATGCATTTTATATTTTCAAATGATGGTACTGTCTTAGGTTTTCTGTAAAAGTCATTGATAATGCATTGAATGGAAGAGGCTTTAAGTTAAACCTGTACTTAGTCCTTGTATTGGAATCGTAGTATTTCTATACATTTTAAAAAACGTATATATTCTGAAAGCTTGAGAGTTTGTTGTAGTAAACACTGGCAATAGTTGTGGCAGGTCAATTGTCTTTTGCCTTCTGTTCATAAAATACTAAGTGTATTTGGGTTCTAGGTCACAACTGCAGCTGGAGAACTGCTATCAATTCTATGTATTGTTTTACATTAAACAAAACTAAACTCAGAAACAACAAAATCATTACATTCTTTCTTTATTAATATTAGCAGATGTATCTTGTGATGGAGCTGTGTGAGGATGGAGAACTTAAAAAAATTCTTAGTAGTAAAGGACATTTTACAGAAAATGAGACAAGGCACATCGTTCAGTCTTGCTTCAGCAACAGCGTATTTTCTCAAAAATGATAATTAAGTTCCTCTGTCTCACTCCATGTTCATTGATTTCACGTGTTCATATATTTAACAACAGTTACTGATTACTATTCTTATCTGTTATTTATTTCATAGGATAAAAATGATCTGCCAAAGAAAAAGTAAAATATACTACATGAATACTTTTTTAGAACTTTATTTTTCGTTCAATATAATAACTGCTACTATTTTTCTTTTATTTCTTTTTCTGTTCCAGCTATGACAATAACGCGTGCTATTGTTTCCTGACTTTCAACTGCTTTGCATTATAACATTGACTGACTTTAGTTGTCAAGTGTATAGTCTAGTACAGGAGGTAAAAAAAGCAGAAGTGGATTGTTCCTGATACTTCTTAACAGGATGTGTTGCATTTAGGATTCAGTTACCGTCAGCATTTTCATCCACCACACTGAAGCGTTACAGTTCTGCACAGTCCACAGCAGAGTTAACCTATCCAGCCAAAATTTAGAATTGGTGGATAGTGTAGGTTTGTGAATAATTCTGGACTTTTTTACACAGAAATGATTAATCTCTCTCTTATAACATACTACTTCTAGGAATCCTTCATTTGCCTTTATTTTCCACAGAGATATATGAGGTTATGGAACGGTGTCTTGTTTACAGCCTTGTTTCTTCTGTGTACTCATTGAAAGGACAAAAGCTTCTTCTGGTTTTGGATAGGAAAATGAAGTGTGGGTGTGAAAATATGTGCAAATTTGATGATTATGCCATATAAACGCTACTTTGTTATTAGATGATGTCAGGTGATCTACTGATGTTAAAGACTGAACCAATATAAACTTTTCCCTTTATTACAAGAATATGGAGAGGAATGAGACTTGAAAATTTGAAATACTTATATGACTCCCTGGATGAAACGGGAAAGATATTTTTGGTTAGGCTTCCAGCACTTCAGAATAAAATGCACTGGAACTGCTCAAAGAAATTACTCAATTGAAAGAGTTTAAAACATTTCTGTCAGAATATCTTCACTGCAACTGATAGCATTTTATTTCTTACTCTCTCTTGTCAGATATTGTTCCCAGAGATCTAAAACTGGAAAACATTTTAGTTAAAAGCAGTGACACAGATGAAGTAAATGAAATTAAATCAAACATAAAGGTAAGGCAACAATTGTAGCAGTTCTGCTTCAAAAACCAGTTTTAATATCCAGTATTACTGGGAGACCTGACTTTGATACCTATTAGCTTTTGAAATGAGCTACTAAATGCTGTTATTAGGGGAAAAAAAAAAATCATTTTGGAAGCTAAGTGCCACTGCTGAAAAAAGTACCTTTTTTTTTTTTTTTTTTTAATGTTAAGCGTATTTCTAGGTCAATTACAAAAAATATAACTCCTTAAAGTAATCACACCTTGTTCATCTAGATCTACATTAGCATAGTTCCAAGCCATTAGTTGCAGGAAGCCAGCGGGTGCTGTGAGATGTAATTAATTTTAAAATTAAGAATATATTCAATTTAATATGAATCTGTTAGTAATTTAGAAAAAAGCCTATTTAGACTGTGCCTTGATTGAAATACACATCTATTATAGGATTCTTTTGATATTAATAAATATTTACTACCTAAACACAATGTGCCATGTGCTTACATCTTCTTTTTGAAAGATGTCTTTGATGCTTAACAAATCATATGCTAATTATCCATTGCTGATTTGCTGTTTTAGTAGTAGTTACTGTGAAAATGTAGGCATCTTCTAAAATAACCTTGTAGAACTGAATTATTGGATCATATATGCACTATCTTGGATAGAAAATACATTGAGAAGTGTTTCAGACAGTGAAGAGTGTGGACATCTTGGTAATTTATGGTGGGAGAAATGCAGGGTGCAGAACTCTGGTATGTTTCTTAGAAGCTATGTATTTTTATATAGTATTATACTTGTTATAAGAAGCAAAATTTTGGATTTCTCTATATACTTCACTTTAAGGCAGTTTGTACCTTTCTACCTGTGAATGCTAGAGCTAGGTAAGTCATTGATATAAATCTTCTGGTTTGTCAACAAGTTTTCCATCCTTGTAGTCTGTTCACCACTTCCATCAGTAGAAACCCTTGTAGCCAGCTGTTCTTTTCTCATGGCCTTGCTTTAAATATCCATTTGGAACAGCAACTGTCACACTCTATCATCTCTCCTTCAAGGTGCAAGCATTTTTCCTGGCCTCTGTCCTGTGAATAAGAACAGATCTTTCCCTTGTTCTCCTTATTTTAAAGGGGAATAACTTCCGAATAACTTTAATGGAAGAAGCAGGCAACAAGGAAGCAAACCCCAAAGCTGGTTTGTAGCAATAAAAGCAGCTACAGGAAAGGGGAGGTCCATCACACCGTGTGAAATAGATAAACAGCTAAGAACAGCACTTACCTGCTTCAGAGTTTTCAGGCTTGAGGTAGCTGATGTTAAACGTGAGGCTAAGGTTTGCACCCTCCTTCTTTTGGCTGTGAGAAATAGTCTTCCTGAATCTTTATGATTTTCTGGTTTGGGGCAGGACATGCAGGGAGAATTATGGGAGAAATCCAGACATAAATTCCTCCCAGTGAAAGAGCAGAGATTCTTCCGTATGATATACCACTAAGTGGCACAGTTGCACACTGGCATGGGGTTTAGATAAGATTTTGTTTATAAGTATAGATATGAAGTCAACTTTTCTTACTCCAGGGCTTTGGTATTGTGCTGCTTATGGCACAATAATTATTTGAAAGACTCAGACTTTTAGCTTTGTCTCCTTACAGGTAACTTCTAGAGTCAACCATAATTTGACCCTATTTAATTTCACTGATATCTCAAACACTTGGTGTTTAAAGTGGTGAGGAGGCAGAATGCAATGATCTCATTCCTTTGTAGTGTGCTAACCAACGTAAACTTGGGGAAGTAGTAAAACAAAAAGCAACAGCTAAGTTGTTTGGGGTTTTTTTTTGTTTGTTTTTTGTTTTTTGTTTTTTTCTGAAAACGCCTGTCCTCCCCAAGAAACCCAAACCACAACCCCACTGTAAAGACTTTTTGAGGTTGGGAGAGGGTGTACACAACAACATCTGTTTCAGTCAGTTCCAGGATTATAACTGGACAAGAGAAAAGTTTCTAAATGTGAGGATATTCTCTCTCTTTCTTAATTTGCTCACTCTACAAATAAAATTAATTTGCTTGACCTTAAACTAAATCATTTGGTTTACTTTAAAGTAAGTCTTTTGCACACTCTGGTTTTAGTTAAGATTTTCTAGATATCACCTTTTGGTTGAATGTTGGAGCTGGTGATGTATTCTGATGGCTGGTTCAGACCAGCAGAACAACCAATAGAAAACTGCCTCCGGGAAGTGAAATTTTCATTTTGCATCCTTTTTTTTTTTCCTTAAAGAGCAGCTTGAGACGCAGTGGAATCCATATCAGTTTAATGGACAAGCACAAATGCATTTGTGCAATATAATATGGGATGTAAATTTTAGTGGGACAAAGCTGCTGATTCACTGAGTGGCTGGCACTGAAATGCTGCCCTGAAGGTGGAGGGGGAAGGTCTGTGGCTTAGCTGGGTTTGAGCCATACTAAAGATCATCTCTTTCTGGTGGAGACGATGGAGGAGCATTTCCAGCTATTTGTCTTTCCTGCTGCTACATGTCCTGGCAGCTGTGAGGAGGAATGGATCCGCCGAGAGCATGCTGTAACCATCGGTTGAGGAGTTGTCTATGTTCATGTGACACTCTACGTTTTCATTTATGTTCTTAACAAGCAGCACTGATTTATCAGCAAGTTGGTTTTACTTATCTTGACCTTCTAACTTCTGTCTCTGCCCCTCCTTGCCCACAGCCATGTAGTGTCTTCTCCTTCAACCTGCAGCAGTTGGGTTTTCCAACCTGCTTTATTCACAGAGAGTGTAAAGTGGTCAGCAGGGATTTGCCTTGTGTCCTTGGAGGATGCTTAGTTTAATGTGAGCTTGAATGTCAAGGAAAAAAATGTTGCATTAAAAAAACTCTTAAGCAGTGGAACAAATTGCCCAGAACAATAATTACAGGACAAACGTTAGTGGTGTTTGGCACAAATTTGATGATCTTTATGGGAGAATAGGGGAGGAATAAAATGAAGATCATTATACAAAAGTCTCATTTTTACTGTTTTTTTCTCAGGCTTTAACACTTTGACTACAAACAGTAAGTTCTGCGCTCAAAAAAAGCACTAAAAAGTCCATCTTTATTGCTAGTTTTAATGCTTTTTTTTCCCTACTAGTTGACTGACTTCAGTTTAGCTGTATAAAAAACTGGCAGTAGTGAAAGCATGTTTCAGTCTATCTGTGGGACTCCTGTATGCACAGGTAAGTTCAGCACTTCGGTCTTTTTGAGAGCTACAACTCACTAGATTCCTTCCAGATTACAATGAGTCACAGGATCTCTGAGCTCTCCTTTTTCTTCTTTTCTTTTCTCACAGGAATTGTCATACTAGCTTAAACTGCTTGTATTTCTAATCTCATACAATCATCTCTGAGATCCAAAGCACCAACTTCAGAGAAAGGTGCAGCTATAACTCATAACAACCTTTTACTGGGGCTCGTCAGATCTTAGGCAGCTGCTGTGGAATAAATTTCCCATCATTATAAGGATTTACATTTCATATGCATTTCGCATTACATAAATGTAAATGTACATAGTATCTGTTTCTGTTGTGTCCATTTCGCTAAGTTATAGCTTCTGTGTAGCAGCAAATTCCACAGATTAACACTCTGTTCGCAGTATGGTGCAAGTGTTGGATCCTTGGCAGTCTGTTCACTCTCCCTCTCTCTCTCTCTGGTCTGTCAGAGATCAGGCCTTCTCCTGAGGATCTCAAGGGGACAGGTTGCAACAGGCATCAGTAGGTATCACGGCAAGGCAGCTGGCAAAATCCCAATACTTCTTGGTGTTTTAAACATGCTTATAACTTGTTATATACATGAAAACAATAGCGAATTTATGTGGCTTTTTCAAATGCTTGTCCATATGTACTGCACTCTACGTGCCATTCAGTTTCTTTTGGCTAGCGGTGTATAGTAGAAGCAACCCCTTATTGTCTTTATTCGTCTGAGGTGTCAACACTTATTGCTAAAAATATGTAGACTGGCTGCAAGATCTGCAAGGGTCAGCTCTCTTGACTTTTTCTCTGCTGATGGTAGCCAGGTTCCACAGAGGCCTTGTACCTCTAGTCAGGAAGTGCATGTCTTCTGAGCTTCTAAGTTTTTTCTGAAGGGAATGATAGAACCATACTTAACCCAATAGCTGCCCAGGTTTTTCTCACCTTCCCCCAACTTCTTGAAATGAGTCTGGGCTTGTTTGGCAGAGTCATCCTTCACTGTTGGCTACAGAGAGAGCGATATGCAGGTTTCATTTCATGTTTGAGTATTCTGAATTTCAATTACAATTTATTTTCCTTTTTTGAGTTCTACTCTAAGGAAAGCAAGCTAAGGTACATGCCTTGCAAGCTCAGATTTTTGCCTACAGACAAATGTCTTCTCTTCAGCTGTTTGTAGATTTTGTTGAAAGGGTATGGATCCACCATTTTAATTTAGATACTACCTCTATCAATAAACATTGGGGATAACCTGAGAAATAACTGTCTTTCATTTTGCTGTTATTCAGTCAGCCTTCATAGGTCTTTTGAGGCATGTATTTCCAGTAGGTAAGCAGAACAACTGCACAGGTTCTTTACATCCCCTTTCCAGAGACAGGTGACAAGTAGTGCTTTTTTGGTAAGGTTTCTTTTAATAGTCATATGTTTGCCTACACGCATTCCTCCTTTCTCTTGCTATTCTGGAAGTTCAAAACCTCTGAAATTCTTCATTGGTTAAGAACTTGAACAGTATTTAAGGCTGTGCCATCCTTTAAGCCCACCTTGGATACTTAAAGTCTAGACAAAGTTGACAGAAGTGATCACTGACCAAAGAATCTGAAATCAAGTGCATGTGGTTTTTGCAAATGTGCCGTTGGTGGCCAGAGGTAATCAGAGATTCAAAGAGCCAGTTTTGATGCAAGGTAACTAATTCTTTTCAAACTCCCTTCTGCATAAGAGACAGAACAACTCCGTACTTCTCAACGACTCATGGGAAAAGAGGTATGACTGTTGCATACCAGCCGAGGACAGCTGCCAATCACCATGTGGGTCAGCTGATTGAGGGAATGCTCTCACTCCACTCACTATCCAGTTCCTAAAGGAGACAGGCAAGCAGGTCCCTACAGTGAGGACAAACAGCTATTCCAGCTGACTGTACCTCTTCAGAGTGCAAGCAGTGACATACCGTGTCAGGCACAGAGTCAATTTATAACCAATACCTACAGGCTGCATGAAGTTAACTCTGTCTACTACAACAAACGAAGGTAGCAGTTAGGGAAGATTTTGATCAGATCTTAGATGTTGCTGTAGAGGAGTCCATGTTCTTGTCTGATGATATTCCTTGATGATTCTGTACTGTTCATTGTCAGGCACTTCTTTTCTGCTGTTCTTTTTTTTCCTCTCTGCTCCCCTAGCCCATCGGGTACTCATTACAATCTCTTAGATGACATGCAGAACTGATTTCTTCTTATTTTCTCATGAGCTTTACCGTGCCCTCCATGCAGACATCACTCACTTTGCATTTCCATTCTACATGATGTTGTCGTCAAACTGACTCAATCTACCTTCTATTATTACTAAGTTCAGTGCAAGTAACATAGTCCGTTGTTATGAGGTCAGTTTTTTCTCTGTTGTTGGGTGGTTTTGAAGCCGACAGTGCTACAAAATTACCTCCCTCTGGCTATGTAAAGCTAATTTTTATCTTCTGATGTGGTGCAGAAACTTTTAGGAATCTCCAGCTAAACAATGGGATTAATTTAGAAACCATTTTTTTCTTAGAAAATTTCCACCCAGACAATGTGTCTGTGCCAGCGTATGACACTGATTATTACTTGATATTGAAATGAAAGTTGAAAAAAACCACAAAAGCAGGTAATTATGATGTAGCCTGCCCAAAGGGCTTGCTTTTCAGCAATAAATGCTTTGCATTCCATAATACAAAGACTTTTACACCTTTCTGATTTATACTGCATGCTATAATATACTTCACTTCATTATCCAATATAGCATTAATTTTTTAATTCTATGAAATTCTTTTCCTCAATGGTATGTACCAGCAATACATTTCACAGCTTGCTTATAACAAACCGAAGCAAAAAAATAATCCTTTTTGGAGGAAGGTAATTAGTCCTTCTGAGTTTTTGTTTGATGAAAAACTAGTAGTATTAAATACTTCTATAAGTGAGGGGCTTGCATGGGATGAAATTACTTTCCAATTTACTAATAATGGCAGAAACATAGAGTCTCAACACTGGAAGGGACCTTGAGCTATCTGATTTATTTCTCTGTCCAAAGAAAGAAGCAGCTATACTTGAGTTATTCCTGATGAATATTTGTGTAAAGCGTACTTAAAGACCTCCAGTAATGGAGACTCTGTAATCTTCCCAGGTACTCTATTCTGATGCTTCATTATCTTCCTAGAATTTTTTCCTCCTGTCTGCCCTGAACCTTCAGTTTGACAATCAGCTTAAACTTATAACTACAGGCCATGATCTAATTACTTTTTTCGTAATAAATTTTCAGTTAAGTCACCTCCAGCCACGTAATTGCTAGAGCTGACCTAAGGGAGGTGGTGAGATCCTGTGCATGGAGCTAGGGAAAAGCGTGGAACTGTGCTTCGTATTTTCAGACTATAATTTCTTGCCCTATCCATCGTGGATATGAAGAGCAGGTAGACACCTTCTTATTTTTCAGCAATCTGATATTACACTTCTCCTTTGGTGTCTTGTTCTTTAGACTAAACAGGATGAATTTTCTCAGTCCTGTTCTGCATTTCTGATCTTTGTGATTGGCTTGCCATGCTCCATTTGGTAGCTAGGATGTCAAAATGGGAGTATTCAAAACTGAGCACAATACCAAGTTGAAGCCTTACCGGTGCTGGGCTGAGTGGAAGGATGCGCTGCAGACCTTAGGCTTGCATATAAAACACGGGTATGACTGTCTTTTTGTAATTTATTTAAGTACTCTGAAGTCCAAATAAAAGAACAAGAGGTAAGGGCTGGGAATCAGGCCATTGGTCTGTTTTTCACCTGGCATATTTAAATAGGCTTCTAACCCAGACAAAGGGAGGTTGGCCTTGGTCTCCTCAGGAAAGGCAGATGTGCACAAAGTTTTTGTGCCAGTTTTACGCTAATCCTGCCTTGCAGAGGTGTTGTCCAGTAACGTTGGAACTGTAAACTTATGTTCAGCTTGTGATTCACAATGGTCCTTGAGCTGCTGCCTGACCAGCTCTTCTCCTTGCATGCATTCTGAACTTGTCTTTCAATATACTTACAGTCGTTCCTGGCTCAATGTTGTTTTCAGATTTTTCAAGTGTGTTCTGTCTTGGATCATCCAGGTCATCAGTTATAATGGTATCATGCCTAGGACAAACATCTGCAAAACATGCCTTGATGCAGCCTTCCACTTTCATAATGAAGAAGTTACAACTACTTTTTGAGAAGTGTTTTCTATAAGCATGTGTCCATTGTTCTTGTGGTATTTCAAGGTAGACAGTATTATAAAAAAAAAATGACGTGAAACAATATCAAAAGCCTTATTAAAATAGAGATATGTGATATTTAGGGTTCCTCCTCTAACCCTGAAAACCTTCAACCTGTGCTACATGGAGATTTGTTCCTGACAGGTGCATAATGGCTGTTACTTACCTCTTTGATTTCTTCTAGGTGATTATTATTTCTGGTATTTTCCTGGGAATTAAAAATGATGGGACTCATCTGTAATTCTTTGATGTCATCTTTTCCACCCTCTCACAGAGAGATACCATGACTGCCTTTTTCAGTTTTCAAGTATTTTATCTGCCTTCCACTGATAGTTCTTGAACCACTAATAGCTCTGAAAAGTCTTGTCAGCTTTTAAAGTGCTCTAGAATGAATTTTATCAGTTATGGCTGATTTTGAAATTTCCAACCTAAGTACTTGTTAACCTTTTGTTTCTCTGTAAAAAACTGAGGTCTTAGCCCTTTGTCATTGATATTGATTGTGCTATCCACTGCTTGCAGTTGACATTTTGGTTAAGATTGATGCAAGAAGACATTAAATACATTTGCCTTCCGAGCATCATCTATCAATTGCATTCTTGGTTGAATATAATACCAGCCTCTTTATTCATTGTCTTCCTACTGCTCATAAACTTATAGATTATTTCATTTTTAGTTATGTCCCTTGGTAGTTGCTCCTCATTTTTCCTTTCTGATTTTGCCCCTCTATGCTTATGTTTTGCTTTTGTTCTTATTTCTGTCTTTTGTATGCTCCCTTCCTGTGTGTGAGACTTGTGGAAATTCATGATTTAACCAGATTGGTTTATTAATAAAAGTATATAAAAGTAATAGCAATTTCCTGATTCAGTCATTTTATTTTGTGTAGGATACGTATAAAAGGATATGTATAAAAGGATATAAACTTACATAAGTTTATAACTTTTCCTAGGATATTAATATCATGGATTACTGCTGGTTTAAAATGTTCTCAAAATGATCAATTAAAAATGAGACAATACTGTAGGTTTTGGCCAGTTTGGAAATATTAATGGTAAGAATCTCCTCTAAAGTCTTGTTTTACCAGCTGTGGTATTATTAAACCATTAAGTTAACTATTTTATGTTCCTTGACATAGTGGTTAGATATCTGAAGCTTAGTACCTACCTAAAACATAAAAACCTGGCATGGCAGTTAAACAAGCTTTTTGATTTGGGGGGACACCACCAAATAAAGTAGTCTCTGTCAATCTTCTCTTCTATTGTGTGAAGGTTTTTATCTTCTGTTCCTTCCTGGGGCTAAGTATGTTGCCTCCACTGATTCTGGGAGTGAAAACCATAGATCTTGCTGTGAACTCACAACCATATCTCCCATGATATAGTAGATAAAATATCACGAAGATGGCCTCAAAGCAGCAACTTTCTGACATGTGACTGAGATAATACAAAGCGATTGGCAAATAGATTATAATTTGTGAATTTTTAATCTAGGATATAAATACATAGGTTTAAAAAATTTATTTTAGAGTATTTTGGCATTGATTCTGTTCATCATATGATGTATTCAAGCAAATATGTGCAAAAAGAGGCTTTTGTGTTTTGCAAAAACTGTGTGTTCTTATGTACTACATATGTCTGGGAGAAAAAAGTTCATACGCTGTCTTGTGGTACTTTAAGTCAGTGTGTTGTGAGTACTGCTTTAATAACTTATTGTGGGGAAAAAGAATACTGATTTTAATCATACAGCTAATGTCACAATGTCACCACCCCTTTAACAGCTAAATGGTAAAAGTGAGGACACATCAGCATGAATTGTTAAGGTCTGTACATTATTCATTTAAACATCTGCTGTTGGTTCCTCTTTACATATGGGAATAAATTATACCACATCAGCACATTCTTCATGCTTTGTGTTTAAGCATTTAAAAGTTTTTTTTTTTCTATTATTAATACTATTTTTTCTGCTTGGTTGGCAGCCCCTGAAGTTATCAGTGCCTATGACTACAGCCAACAGTGTGACATTTGGAGCATAGGTGTCATCATGTACATGCTGTAAGTAGCTTGTACAAGTAATATAAAATGTACAGACCCATTTATAATACAAGTACTTACAATTTTGCACTGAAATAAAAAATAAACCTGTATGCTAAACCTTCAAAAAAGACTGAACTCTTATAATTGCTTGTATGTTAACATTACAAATTTATATGGAAAAAAAAGTAAAAGATACAGTTTAGTGCTAAAAAATGAGTATTTGATTTATGAACCACTTCATAATCCTGAAATAACAGAATATTACAGCATACTGCAGTGAAACACCCTAAAACTAAATTGTGAGTTTAGGCCTCTCTTTTCCATATTTTGGTTGGATCTATACATGACAACTAAGTTATTGATTTCCAGATTATTGGTTAAATCCTCAAATGGGTTGCTCAAACCATGCAAATAGGGTGAGGGCTTTTCTTCTCCACCTCTGCCTGTGGTAACTCTGTAACTGAGATGTTTGAAGGCTGCCAGGTCTCCCTGTAAGGGTTATCTGTGTCCTTTGAAAGTTTATTAGTCTGCTGTTATTAGAGGAAGAAATGAAATTTTACATTTATAAGACTACGTGCATATTTTTATTGAAGCCTTTAATTATTTATAACATTTGTCTTAGTTACAAAATAATAATTCCTCTCTGAAAAATCTTATCTTGCCTGTACTAGCTAAATAATGTAAAAAGGTACCCCAGTAATTAAAAGTAAATTTTAGCAAAGTACATAAATTGCCGTTCATATGATGCAACTGTTACATAGTATGCAGGGACATTTTTCTTTCATAATGTGTTTGCATGTTTTTTTCCCCCACTTTCAGTCTTTTTCTTCTCTCAGTTGTCCCCAGATGATGCTTTAAGGCCAATGTTTTAGAATATTACCACTTGCTGTTTCATTTGTTATTATTTCTGTCCTCTGATTGTTTTACTGTTGTTGCATACAGCTGAGCTCTTTCATAACTTAAGACTTCGTACATGAGCACACACAGGCACACAGTTTCATAACCTCTTTTTTTCTGGATTTTTTTTTTTTGTTTGGCTTTTCTTTCCACTTTGTTTTGGTTCCTCAGTTTCTTTTCTGTACAATGAATTCACTTTTCTTCTTGTGTCAGCATAATGAACTGCTCATAGCTTTATTGCCTTTTTTTTTTTTATTTCTAAAATCCATGTGTACTTTTTATGGTGATACACTATGAGTTTTATTATTGTACTTCATGATATTAATGTTTGCATCACGGTAGTAGGATTTACACAACATAATACATTAGAATATATTATAAAATGGTTGGTAGAAATTGAATGGTTTGACTGGCTAATAAGAATCCAGAGCAGTGCCTGCAATCAGCACAATTCACAGCTCAGAACTTGTAAAATTCAGAGCAGTGAACTGCGTTGATTGCAGCCAGAGCTTAGAACTTCTGACCTTCTTCCTTAATTAGCAATATAAATATTTTTTTAAATTAGCATTTTGTAATCACAGCAGTGTCAGAACAAAGTAACATTAATTCACTCCTTGTTGTGTTGACTACACAAGAATGAAAATACTGTGTATGAATTAATACAATACAATTCACACTCCTTTTTATTGCTTAATTTGAAAATAGTAATACAAAAGCCATAAGATCATCTTCTGATTTTAATTCTGTTTTTGCACATTACTTTTCTTCTCACCCTGAATCACAGCTTGACCTCCTGGTGCTCCTCTAATGGGCTTAAAGATACTGTTACAGCCATTACTGCTCCCATCACAACTTTGACCCTTCTAGGCTGCAGCTAATGCCTCCCCGGTAATTTGCTAGCTGCCAGCACTCTTTCTGCAGTGCAGATGGCACGCTCCATCTTGGTACCAGGGGTATTATTGCCACGACAGGCTCAGTCTCTACCTGTACGGGGACCATGAGCCCTGAGGTGACTCATGAACTCTGTTTTCATGAATGTTAATGCACAGGGTTGCCTCTGCATAATGGGGCAATGCCGGTGTGATGGATTTTTCTGTGTAATTTAAACTGAGGTCTACTTTATACTTTCCATTTCATTTCTATTTTAACATACTAACAGAAGCATACACAACCAACTAAAAGAAAATCCATTGAAGTACGAAAGTATGTCAGCACATTGTAAGAGTAGGCTAGCAGGAGTCCTGCTGCCTGTCGCACTCCAAGAGCGTGGCCCATATGCTTCTCTCTAATAGGAAAGGGTCAGGGGCTTTTTCCTGTGCAATCTTTGCTATTGGATTTCTTGCTCATTCTTCCAAGTGTGCTCAGAAACTCTGGCCCCTGCAATAGTTCTTGAAAACCTTTGTGCAACTACAGAAGTCTAGGATGCCTAACAAATTACTTCCTGCATTGCAGCAATAAGAAACCTATTAAGAAAATGTGGTGCTTTTTGCTCATTTCTAAAGGCACAGAAAATTTCTTCACAGATTTTCAAGGTTTTATGCGATAATTTTCATCTACTTAAGTTGATATCTTTAGCTGAAGTTATCTGTTGTCTGTCACTGCCTTAGTGTGGAGAGAATTTAGTCCTATCTGTGCATAACAGAATAATGGGCGTTGTCGCCAGCCAATACTTCCAGTACGGTGTCCTGAAATTAATGCATTCTTCCCATTTTCTTTAAATTGGCTTCCATGTGGATTTAAGTCCTAAGGGAGACTGGGGAGGAGAATTAGAGGATGAAAGAAAACAGCAATTTTTGTGGAAAACATTTTAAGAATAAAAATTTTGGGGAAAATGCACTAAAATATTAATTTTATGTTTTACCTTAAAATTAAAAATTGAAGCCATGTGAATGAAACTCCAGAGTATTTTACTTCAATATAAAGTGACAGGCATCCTTCACTAGGATGTGACAATTACATTTTCAGCAGCTACTTCTGTGTTTTGGGAGTAGAACTAAAACCATAATTTGATGCAAATAATTTATTTGATGAAGTTAGCTTCTTTTTTGTTTTAAATGGCCACAAATAGGTGTATTAATTTCTTGAAAGTATTTGCTATGCATTTTTTGCATGTCAGTTGTACATAAACAGTATGATGTAAAATCTATTAGAAATTTAATCTTTTATTAGTTTTGATTGAAGACACAGATCACATGGTATGGTTTTTCATTCATTATGTGATTACTAGAACACAAATCAATATTTACTTTCAAAGTATACTCTCTAATAAACACTTACAGTTGATGTCTGTGTTTAATACTTCTGTCAGTAAACAGGAATAGTCACAGAAACCAAATACAAAGCAAATTTAAACAATGGGTTTGATATAAACACAATTTTTTTTAGCAATACATTTGGTTTAGTTTCATGTATATTACCTTTTTTGTATTGTTACCACATCATTACGAATACAATGACATAAAGGAAGCAAATGATACAGAAAGAGTAAATTGAATTTATAGACATGCAGATACCACATTTACTCAAATATTTTACTCAAAATAACAAGAAATAAATACAGGGCAATAATGTAACCAATGTATATTTTTTATGAACCTATGTACTCTTAATATGCACATTTACGAGTCTGTCCTAAAATTTTGCTGACATTTCTGGTATCTTTGGTTTTTTATTTTCTTATTTCTATTGATACCTTAGTTTAGATGGGGACAAATAAGGCAATGTTCACACTATGTAGCTAAGGGAGATACAGCTTGATAACAGAACAAAGAATGAAACATTAACAATGACGTTTTGTTTTGTCATAGTATTTTCTGCTTTATGGTTTTGTTCTGAAAAATAAATCTTTTTTATCAGTAAAAGGATATTGTGCACTTCTAAATTTTTCTGTGAACCACATTTGCTTTAATTTACTGTTATACAATGAAGGATAGCACCTTAGACAGAGAATTGAACATATTTCATAGATTGCAAGATTTTGGAACTGAGTTTATCACATTTTGAATGGCAGTACGCTTGACTTTAGGGACACAAGCAACCACTATGTATGACTAAACTGACTTCTCATATAAAATAAGGCTACAGAATAAAATGTATCTAGTAATTCTTATACTGAGCCAATGGCCCGTGTTTGACTCAAAGCGTGTTTTTTAGAAAGACATCTGACTGGGATTTAAATGCCTAATTTGAGAGCAGTCTGTTTTGTCTTGTTGTTTCCATTCTTGTGATTGTTATTAACTCGGTGGAGTTTTAGCTCACTAGTCTAAAAACAGTGGGACAGGAATTACTGATGGTTCTTATTGCTGAAATGGAGTGGTTGCTAGGACAGAATTGTTGAATTGTTTAAAGGAAAATCTTACTTTGACATGAAATCAAAACAAATGGTAAGTATAAAGTGTCTGCAGCAAACAAAACTTCTGTGGTGGGAACACTGCACATGGTGGCAACAGGTTAGCTTTCAGTTAGCCAAGTGATTTGGATGAGTGAGTTACAGAACAGCAAAGTACTATATTTTCAGTTTACTTTTTTCTTGCTTCTACTTCAGTTGTTGTATCTTGTTAAACCTTTCGCTGCTACCTTAAAAATACACATACTACCAATTATCTTTTCCTTATGTGGATACCTAGCGACCAAGATTAAATCACCTTTTAACCTCACAACCTTTTTCCTTTAAATGTCTCTGAGACACATTTTTCAGAGCTTGCGCCACATTTGTAGAGTTCTTCTGAAGCTTTCCCAGTCCTGCGAAATTTTGATTTCACAGTGATCCCATAATACATAGTTTCTGCCTCACTAGTGAAAAATAGTAGGTATCCGTTCACTGACCCTAATTTTCTTACACCTTTTATAGCAAACTTAGAAGAAAAGCTTTTTGAACTAATAAGAAAGGGAGACCTGTGCTTTAAAAAAAAATCTGGTATGGGAAACAGTGAGGCTGGTAAGTACACAATGCTCTCACGAAGTAAATGCTGACCATATTGCAATGAATTCCACAAATGTAGTAGTTTTGATTTTTTTTTTTTTTGCTTTTAAGTAGTGTACGTTTTCTGAAAAGCAAAATTGATGTTAAAAAATAAATTGACATAAATGATATCATGAACTAATTTCATAGCATAGTAAGTAAAA